ATTAAATAATTACAGAATGCCAAGATGCGTACTAACAATGCTGAACAGATTTTGCATAGGCGTTTCTTAACATTCACATCGTAAATGTTGGTGATTTTTGTGCTTTCACAGAGGTGGTTACTTTACTATTGCACACAATCTCAGTTTTATTTCAACCACTTCTTTGGCTGCAAAAAATGGGGAAATTTGCTGCAAATGACAAGTCGTGTTTCGGGTCTTTGTGCATTTTAATGCAGCACTGAATAACTCGAAAGTAAGAAATGCTCAATGTCAGCTTATTAAAGCTGCAGATTTAACTAACGCATTCATTCCACATCCGAGAGGACTCACATTTGCTGAGGTTTTCGACGGCAGAACTGTAAAGCGGTCGTGCATTTATGTGCAAGGGTGATTTATAGAAAACTCAACAGTTACAAGCAATTCAAGTTGGCGTCTCGACCACAACTAGCTAATATGTAAGCCTCCTCAGCAGAGATCGGCTTTTTAAAAGCTCTCCATGGAACAAAATGAGACAAATTTCGGTTGTTTTCAGGTCGGAAAACCTAAGGAACAAACTGAACAAGAGCCTAACCTTCGTAGTGCCTGGGTTCGTCATAATTATAACTTCAGGCTAACAATTCCCCCCAGCCCACGAGGGACATTCGTATTAAGGAGTTCAAAGACATTCCTCAGTTGTGACCAAGTGTTGCTTTCGTGTGCGAGCTGTGATGCTATTTGCCCCTCAGGAGCCCTCACAGTTCATTTTTGTTCTTTGGCACAAAAATAGCGGTGAAAAAGTGGAGGAGAGATAAGCCTAACCTTTAAGCTTTTTGCGAGTCAGTGGTTGTACTGAGTGGAGCGATGTGATACGCTGGCAATTATTCATAAGGATTGGCAGATGTTGCGACAATCATATCTACTTGCTGAAGACCTAACTGCGAATGGTGACTTCTCAAGGTAGCCTGTCCTAATGAGGTGTCGGAAATGTGGCGCTGCAGTGTTGTCGCGCTTGCTTCGTGCGTGCAGTGACGAGCACACTCATATCACAGTCGCTCTCACCCTCCCATTGGCCCCTCTAACACTCATCCAAAGGTCACCTCACGGTGCGTGCGCGTGTGCACCAGCCGTCAGATAGAAGCACACATACGCAAACACGCACACGTCGACTTCATTCCCCACGAGGCTCTACTCACACGACCGCCTGGGCACACACAGAACATATCTGCCTGCTCATTGATGTGAGTCATTTCTCGCCTCTCCTAACTCTATGCCTCTCATTACACCAAAATGCAATTGGTGCTACAACTTCAGTGATTTTACTGCAAGTCTGATAAACTCTTCATTCTTCCATGCTTAATCTCATCCACAACCGTAAATACTGCTGTAGGTGCTTAAGTATATGAGTTTGTGTGTGCTTTAATATTGCTGCAATATTAAGTATGCGGTGATTTATGAAGAAACGACCCCCTAAATAGTAGATTAAATTCCCCCC